GACGGCAAGTGGAGAATTTTAAATAATATGTACCTTGAAAGGAGGTGGTGGTGTGAGATATATATAATCTCACTAAGAATCCAGCTTATTTAGTTTACTCAATTTTAAAGTTGCATCCTATTAGAATTTCAATTAATAAAAAGTGTATAATAAGTAACTCCTTTTTTTTTGGTAACACTCATACACTAACTCCATTGAATCATACTAACAAGGTTACAAATTATATAAAGAACAAAACTTATTTTTCTTTTGAAAAAATGCATGAGGAGAATCTCTTTAATGCAACATAAATTCATAAGTCTTGTGCTACCAAACCAGTACAAATAGTGGTACAACTTTTCCAAATTTTCAAACCAGTAACCCTGTAAACATGTACCATCAAATAACTCTTTCTAAACAAGGACTCTGCTATATTAAAAAGGTAAGGGTATTATAATTGCAGTTGCAGTCTGATACTAATTCACTTAGATTTAATACAGTACTTGTTACCTGACAATCTTAATTGCATGAAAACAGTGACTTATTATTTCTTCAAAAAAATAAAAATTCAATGAATTTTTGTTTATTTTATGATATAAAAGGATTGTCCCACCAGTACTTGAAAGTAATGCGTAGCTATTTTGAGTAGGTTGTCGTTTTCCTCTTCTTTGTTTTGGTAGATTCCATTCCAACCATGATACAATTATATTATGTAGCTAACCATGTAAAATTAGTTGTTACCTACAATTTTAGCTCCATGACAAATGTTGTTCAATGTCATTTTTTCTTGTGAGAATAACCATTTTTTTACCATTATACCATATATGCATGTATGGGATATATGAGAATAATTTGAATTTGTTACTTGAAGGTTTAAACGTAGGAACAATCATATTAGTTACTGCTTTTAATAACTCGTTTAACTTTTTTATCCCTAACCCTATATTTGGTTGCTTTGTTTTCTTTCACCTAACTATGTTTTTTTTCCTAGTTCTGAGTTATGTGGAATAGAGAACATTGGTTTTGTGGATCAAATTAAAATAAAAAAATAAAAGAATATTAGTTTATATTTTGTGAAATTTCATTACACTCGAAGATTAATATTATAGGAGGCTCAAAAGACATATATCTTGGAGCAATATTAAAGACCTTAGAGCACCCACATGAGTTGATTTTGAGACTGGTATCACATTAATCAATGACACGTGTGAGTAGAAATGGATATCTGATTATGTAATGTAATGGATGGTATAATAAAGCCACTGTTGCCAATAAAAGTCATAGTATGTTAGTTTTTTTTTCTCTGTTTTTAACAAATACTTTTATACATATATAATAAGTGAGGCCCAATTTAGAGTTTTGAGAAAATGATATTTAAAAATTGTAGTTTAGTGGCTTAAGTTATTGAAAAATAAAATAAGTAAAATATAAAAATAAAATGGATTTATTTAAGACACCAAAATAAATGTCACTAATGTGTGTGCTCTTAATGAATATCGACATGTTAGAAAGAAGGGGGAAAAAACATAATCATAAAAGTTTGGTAGTTATGGTCTTCAACATTTAACTAGTTTTTTATTATTTATTATCTTAATTGTATTTACTTTTGAGTTTTTACTATTTTGTAATAATAAATACAACTTAAATGTATCGTTGAATTAGAATAATTTTGATTGGGTCATAGAAGAGATCAGTCCATGTCATATTAGGTCTATGAATGACAAGAGTATTAGTTAGGGCGACCTTAGGAGACGTGGGTCGTCGATCCATACCATTTTGCCGACGACATCATCTCACCTTCTCCAGTTCTAAAGTCAGAGGTCATGGAGTTCGAACCTAATAGGTGGTGCAAATACCACATGGTTAAGGGTCACGACGCTGACGACTACCACCACCTTAAGAGATAGATTGATCCTCTTATTAAGAAGGTCACTTAAAGAATTATTTTAGAGGAAGATCTTAATAAAGGGGTAGGATTCGGGACCAAGGGTGAGCCTAAACCAAAAGCTCCCAATCTAGAAAAGACATAGTCATAATGAGAGGGACACGTCAATCCTCCATACAATTAATACCATTGTGGAAAAATTCGCTTGAGGCGGAGAATTTGGTTTATCCCATATAAGATATGTTCTCCATGTCATGGTTGTGGAGAAATCACCCACTAATCCAAAATCAAACCTATAAAATGATCATGAGCCTGAGATCACCTTCTCATGTGAAGACATTTTTTTAATCTTCTCACCTGAAAATGACCTATGGTGATAAAGGTACAATTTTCAGACTAGGAAATCAAACGAGTTTTAATTGACTTGGGAAGCTCGTCTGGTGTCCTATTCAAGGAAGCCTTTGAGAGACTGAAACTGGATTCAAATAACATGTAGTCATTTATAGGTTCCTTAGTATATTTCTCTAGAGAACATTTATAAGTCAAAGGTATATCATCCTCAAAATGGTGTTCGAATTAATGGAAAACTTCAAGATGATAAAGCTCATGTACCTCGTTGTACACATCCCATCATCCTACAACATCATCATTGGAAGGCCTACTTTAAACCTTCTAGAGGTCGCCTTGTCAAGGTTATAATTAGGCATGAAGTATTCATTGAAGAATGGGTGAATTGGAATTATCCAAGGAGATTAAGAAACTTTCCATGAATGCTACCAAGATAGTTTGAGGATCATAAGTGGACCAATGGCTGTTCACGTCGTGTTTCAGATAGACATCTACATGGTGAACTTCGTGGATCTAGATCCTGGGGTAGAACCTGAGAGAGAAAGACTTATACCGACAAGGACCTGAAGGAGATCCAAATTAGGTCGTTGGAATTCCACACCACCAAGTTGAGCACCTTCATCACAAAAGCCTAAGAAGAGGAGTTGGTCACCTTGCTCTAAAAAGATATTGATCTTTCACATCCTTTATAATATGTCGGATATTGACAACAGATTTGTATGTCACTGTTTTGCCATCAACTCCTCAATTAAGCCAGTAACACAAAGGAAGTGTAAGGTAAGCAAGGAAAAATGGGTGGCCATTGTCTAAGAAGTTGGGAAACTAAAAGAGGTTGGTTTTATAACAATGGGCATAGAGAAGAAAGTGGAAAGAACGTTGAGACTCATATATTTAAGCATACTAGTGGGTGACAGAACATCTCATGTACTAGTGGGTGACATAACATCCCATGACCCAGATTTTACGCAGTAATTTGACCAATGCCTCTCATCATTTGCATCTTCCAAGACAAACTCATCAGAACAAAGCATTAAATGCTTCATGTTTCTCTCACACTTGAGGCACTTGTCCTCCAAGTCTTTCTTGAGGAACTCACCCTCCAAGTTTTTCTTAAGGAAGCGACCCCTCTAGAAAGGGAATATTGTTTACCTAGTTTATATCACTTCGCTCTTCCCAGGTCTTGTACTTTAGAGAATGTGAACTGAGATAACTTTGATTGGCCTTGGAAGAGACCAGGTCATGTCATTTTCGACTCTAAAATGGCATTAGAGAACATAAGGAAAGTTGGGGCAAACTAGGATGTGTTGGTCTCGGGGCAAAACCATTTCTCTTAAAGTTGTGGGTTGCTTGACCCAATGTTGTATGAGCTCACTTACGTTACACAAAGACGTGACTTGATATTTCATAAGAGAAAAAAACACTATTATTGTAACTTCAGAGAGGATACCGCTCTTCCAATAAAGGAGGGAACTTTAAGTTTCCCTATCTCTACATTCTTGGTCAAGTAGTTAGGTTGGAATTAGTTTTTCACCCACAACTTAGTCCACGGATTGTGGTTATAAGTATCTCAATCCCTAAAATTGATATGGCATGCACTTTTCACTCATTCCTCAATAAAGCCTTTTTGTTCCCTCCTACGCAAGCAAAATTCACATCATTATATTTATCATAAGTATAATTGAGTATTTCAAATCTTTAACATAAATATGATATTGTGGTTTCTTTTCCCCATTTCACAATTGAAATCCATAGGTAAATTATAGGCGTATTTTTTTTACATAAGATAGTTTTTGGTTGAAGAAAAATAAAGGGGACAAGAGAAATATTTTTAATTAATTACTTTGTTTGACTTTTATATTGTCTAGTGACAATCTTGGTACTAAGTTTGATTTTTATATGAAACTTTAATTCACGTTGGTTAGAGACTGTGATAAAGTGATGACTTTTTTGGAAGGATCAAATCCTCCCAGATGTTTGGAGTAAATTTTACAGTCGTGCTCTTAAACAATGGCTTGAGTGGAATTTTACGATTACTAACATTGGTAATTCAGTATATGAACTTTGAAAGATACAATTTGGTCTTTTAGAGGCACATAATTTTCAGACATTCTCTTCTTTTCTTTGTGGGTAACCAAGTTAAGTTTATTACTTCTTCTATCGGGCTTTGATGATTATTATTCGCGAGCTTGAAAATTTCTATTAGAAGGTGATGTAAACAATTTTCTGAAAACCCACCACCATCGTCAAATATGAACATATTGTGTGTATCTCCCTCCCTATCACTATATAGAAAAATTTGTAAACAATGAAGATTGAAATGTAAGAAAAAATGTACAATCTCATAGTAGAATTCTATCACACAGGTTTTTTCACTCTAGATTCGCCTATCCAAACACAATTAATCTGACTTCATTATCTGTGAAGCAGCAACCGCTGTTTCATCACATGTAACCACAAGGAAGATAACAGAATACTTATCGGTTCAAAACATATGTGTGTCAGCTTGCATAATTAAAAGGCAAATCCAACTCAACATATTGATATTTTCTTGCCTGAAAGTTGTAGCAGAGGATTTCACAATATCAAACCCAAGCCACAAGGTCAATCACTGTCAACCGACTGCGGCGAAAAATAATACAACTGACTAATTGAGGGATGACAACATTTCCAATTTAGCAAGAAGAAAGAATGGAGGACAGATGATATACCCGGTACAGAAAGAATTGACTTCACACCCAAAATATATGCAGCACAGTTATATCTTCTAATATTCTGCCACCGACCAAATTCATGCGTCAAAGCCGGCACCAGTCCAGCCATGAGCAGAAGATCTACCCTTGGACACAGCACCGATTCCCTTTCCTTTTAATTGGAAGTTGACTTTCTTTTTATTTCTACCTTCGCCTTCATTCGGAGGTTGCTGATTAGGTCTATCTGTCACTGCAACTTTTTGACCATTACTTTGATCAGTATTAACACTTGCGGCTGATCCCCCACTTGATTCCCTAGCGTTGGGATTAGAGGAACTATCCTGAGAAGTACTTTCTGATCTCCCATCCTAACACAATACAAGTGCATGATTTAACATTTACTTGTCTAATACGAAATATGCATATTATTAAACATGTATAAGTATGACTGGACAAATTAGGCGTGTAGCTTAGAAAACACCAATAACTATACAGCTGTAATAATGCTTATAAAGCGAGAAAAACATACATGATTAGTTGTTACGTGACTTGGATTCAAAGCTTCCAATCGTCTTTTTAATTCCTCCAGCCGAGAAAACTGAGACTGACTGCTCTCTTGAACCTATACAAGATTGTTAGTATCAAACAACTAGCTTAAAAGTAGCATATTATTATATCTTCATTCAACAATCAATTTACCAAATTGCTCAAATCTTCACATAGCTTCTCCTTTATTGCTTCCTCATCCTTCACTGCTTGCACGGCTGATTCCCATGCCTGCAGCACAAGCACTAAAGATATCAATTATATTTTAAAAGGTATTTGGCAATACTCATTGATATTTTAGTGGATCAAATCTATCACACTAATAACGGGAACATAAGATCGAAAAAAGCAAACGATTCAGAGACCTTGTGTTCTATATGGTATTTAGTACAGTACCACACCAATATCTTGTGCTCACCTTAATAATGGGAACATAGGACTGGGAAAAAAGCAAACGAAAAAGTAATCGAATAGCCAGTCAATTTATTTGTTATTCACACAAATAATGATTTAGAGATCATATTTTAATGAATATAGTATTCCTCATTCAACAAATAAAGAAACCCAGGATGAGGGAAACTATTTATGTAAATTACATAAAACTTGCACTGAGTTATCAGGACTGATCACTAATGTGCTTTAAAATGTTCTCTCCAATTGATGCTATCATTACTGAGTAAGAATATATCTTGATGCACTGTCTAGCTTTACTCGGCAAATATGAATGACAAATGTGCAGAACATGCCAGTCAAAATGCATACTATTTATATCAACATGAAAACAGATCGATGCCTTGAGCAATTCATCTGAGCACTTAACAATCATCACATGAGTTTATTAACATACAGTGAAAAGATCTGAAGTCACGGTAAGAAGGTATTAGAGGAATAGATCAAGTCTAACTAACAGCAGTAAGCTCATGAGAGCTTACTGCGGGCCTAATGCACAGTAGCCGTGCCTTGTAACTAACTGTCTAACACAGTTAGAGACAGTTATAACCAGCCTAGCAAACTGACTGACATGTGTCAGTCAGTGCTAGCCCGTGACCTGCTACAATAGGTTGTCAAAAAGATCTATACCAAAACATTTCACATAGATTCGAGAATCATGAGCAATATTGAGAATTCTAACATGGTATCAGTTGAACCTCACAATGATCTCATCTTAGAATTTCGATACAGTGCTCACAGCCACACCGCCGTCGCCGTTGCTGACATTGCATTCTTCAACGTTGCCCACTTTGTTTTCTGCTGCCGCCTAAGGTTTCAACAAGTCGAGCTGGTGGTCAAAGCTCACAAGCTTCATCACTACCTTGTTAACCCTAAGATTCCTATCAAGTTTGCAATATTTGCAGATGCAGAATCAAACTCAATATCCAAAGAATTCAAAGTCTGGGAGCAACAGGATCAACTCTGGCTTCAATCTACAATCTCCAAAGATATGTCACGCCGTGCCACGATACAAACACTCGCGGAGACTCTAGGATAAAATACATGCATATTTCCAACAGCGTGTTAATGCAAAATTATGCTGACTGTGCTCTGAACTCAGACACACAAGGCTTGAAGGTTGCTCAAAATCAATTCAATCATAAGCTCCACTCACCCAATTGGTGAGTCAATCTCACCTCATGAACACTAAGATGTTTTACTTGAAGGACTTCCTCATGATTTTGAATCCCCTATATCCCTGATTAGTGGAAATTTTGGCTCCATCTCCGTAGAAGAAGTGGAAACTCTCCTTGGACATGAAACACGCCTTGAAAGGTTCACAAGAAACTATCTCTGCCTTAAGTAAAACTTGCATCATCTATTAGTCCTGCTTGATCACAATGCAAATTCCATCTCTGGTTTTGATAACATCCTACTGAGTTCATTAATGAGAGGTAGCAAGTCTCATCATGGTGGTCATGGTGGCAATTGTTCCATTCAATGTCAGGTTTGCCATAAATTTGGCCATGATGCTTCCATTTGTTTCAATCACTTCAAAAGAGATTACATGCCACATGCACCTCTAGCTCAAAGCTCACAGGGTAATTCCTATAACCCTGACTCCTATAGCTCTCCTTGGTCTTCTGCTAGCACACAAACTCCATCCATTGGTAGCTATCAACATTCATCCATGCCTTGTTAGCCAGCTACATTCTCCATGCCTACCTTCGCTAATTCCCCACAATTTCCCATGATGCCTTCTAATACTAGTGCCCCCTAACCCAGGCCAGAGGCAATGATGGCTACTCTCTGATTCTGCAAGTTCAGTGAATTGGTACTTTGATTCAGGTGCATCTCACCCGTCACCTCCAATGAACATCCAACAATCGTCACCTTTTGAAGGTCCTAATGAGATTATCACAGGCAATGGCCAAGGTTGGTCTGTCCTTTCAACTGGTTTCTCAAAATTCAACACTAATTTCCCTCAATTTTCCATGATGCCTTTTATGAGTGGTGCACCCAAACGCAAGCCAGAGGCAATGATGGCCAACTCTGATTCTGCAAGTGCAGTGAATTGGTACCTTGATTCAGGTGCATCTCACCATGCCACCTTCAATGAACATCCAACAATTGTCACCTTTTAGAGGTCCTAATGAGATTAATCATATGCAATTGGCCAAGGTTTGTCTGTCCTTTCAACTGGTTCCACAAAATTCAATTCTTCTTTAAACTCCAAATTTCAGTTAGTTTGAAATAATCTAGTACACATTCCAACTATCACCAAAAATCTACTAAGTGTTGGTCAGTTTGCCAAAAACAATTTAGTCTACTTTGAATTCCATCCTAATCAATGTTTTGTTAAATGTCAGACTTCCAATGAGATTCTTCTCAAAGGATGGCTTGAAAGGGATGGCATCTACAATTTCCTAGCCTGCTCAGTCAAACTGGACTAGAATTTCTTCTTCTACCAGTCTTATTATAAATACATCAACAGAAAATGCTATTTCTTTTTCCACCTGGCATTCTAGGCTTGGACATCCAAGTGTGGATGTTCAACACCTTGAACTCAAATCTTGCAATATTCCCTTCAATAATAAAAGCACAAATGATTTTTGCACTTCTTGTTGTCTAGGTAAATCTCATAGATACTTTTCATAATTCTAGTTGTCTAGGTAAATCTCATAGATACTTTTCATAATTCTAGTTGTCTAGGTAAATCTCATAGATATTATCTCACTCTTCTATCATCATTTATACAACTTTTTGAACTAGTCTATAGTGATAGCTGGGGCTTTGCACCTTTCACATCCATCATTGATTCTCCTATTATATCCCCTTCATCGATGTACAAACCAGATTTACATGGATTTACTGAATAAAAAGAAAGTCAGATGCTCTCACCACATTTCAACAATTCAAAACAATGGTTGCAACTCGACTCCCCCTTCAAACTGACTGGGTGGAGAATTCAAACCTTTAAACCTTTTACTCAACTCCGGAATCAGCAGGGTGTCCTACATCACCTTATATGCCCACATACTCATCACCAAAATGTAGTACCTTGTAACTAACTGTCTACCATATATAGAAACAATTATAAGCAACCTAACAAACTGACTGACATGTGTTACTAACAAACTAACTGACATGTGTGAGTCAGTGCTAGACCATGACCTACTACAACAGGTTGTCGGAAAGATCTACAAATAGATCCAACTCAGTTGTAATAACGAATTCAATCAATAACACAATATTTCACATAGAATCCAAGAGAACCATGAGCAATATTGAGAATTCTAACAGAGGATAGTGTTGCTGTCATAGTGCAGTACACAACGCCATTTAAATGCTAACACGAAAAATCGCAGGAGAAACAAGGAGAACATCAAGGTAAATACCTTCCGGGCCTGTTCTTCTTTTATCTTGGCTACACGAATTTTCTCTGTTGATTGTTCTATTTTCTTCCTCAAATGTTCAAGTGCTTAAAATATGCACCATGTAGAAAAGAAAAGAAAAGTCATTTCACTATAACAACATTTTTAAACTTATAACGGAAGGAGCAACAATAATTTTCAGAAACCTGATTTTTTGGGCCCGGCTGTAAGTTTCATCTCAAGCGTGAGATTCGCAAGCTCACGCTCCACATTGCGGATTTTCGAATAGTTTTCTTGAATATATCTGTAAATAATAATAAAACAATAATTACAAAAGAGACTAAGGTGATTGAATATAGTTACTTGATTGGCTGCAAAGGGCCTCTATTCAGGAGCAATAAATAGAGGTCTCCCTCTATATTAACAATAACAATACTACAAAAGAGCATCTACTTTTAATTCATAAGAATAATTGCTCAAACTCTAAAAAACTGAATCCCCAAAACAGATACTAGTTCCGTATAGGTAAACTAACTAACTGAGTGCCTTTAAACACAAGTCACAGCTCTCACTCCATGATCTACATATTTTATACTAAATTACAACTTCAAAACAGTAAAATCAAGATAAAAAAAAGCACACAGTTTTCTATATTCCATGGTATACATTCTACAAGTAGAACCCTTGTAGTGCATCATAACCATGGATTACCAGTGTTACCACCAAATAACAATGAAATGGATTCCAATGACCTTAATATTGTAACATTTTAAGTACAGATGCAAAAATCATCACATTTAGTCTACTTTCTTCTGTAAAATCACTAATGGAGGTTCAAAATTTAACGGAAATATCAAATTCTCTAATTAAAAAAAAAACGCCATTGCTTTTTCATCCTTCATGAATCTAATTGAATCTCTCACAACCATTGACCTAAAATTTACTATCCACACTATCACTCCAGCAAATAAAATCAGCTTCTACATCTTACATAGCCATTACTTGGTTGTTAGTATCTAATTAAGAGTTCTATATAGGAACAAGAAATTACATACAAAATTCATATATCATAAAAATTTGATTTCAACATTAGAATAAAATGACCTAAAATGAGGCACATTTAAAAAGTTGATAATGCAGCACAAGTTTTCATTGAACAGAAATAGACAGAGAAATTACTTATGCAATTGAAGCTGCTCCTCTTCGATGCTCTGCAACAAAACCAGAACAAAATCAATGAACAACTATACAGTTACAGATTCGAAAACGAGATGTGAGAAGAGAGAGATAAAGAGAACCCTCTCGGTATAACCGATGACGGAAGCTTCTCTAGCGAGACCATCAGGTCCGATCTCAGGGCGAAGCAAAGGGTTGTTAGAAGCCATTAAGGAACTAGATCAATGGCATTACAGAACTCCGTCGCGTGCCACCGTCAGTGCCGTGGTGTAGGAACCCGGTTCGACCGTCCTCACCGACGTCCGGTTCGAAAAGGAGCGGTTTGATTTGAAGACCCGAACCGAAAGGGAAAACGGAGTGTGAGAAGATGGCGTTGCAGTGTTCAATTAGTTATTGTAGATGGACGATTTAGTCCTTCTCCGTAGAGGACTCCTCGTTTTCGCAACTTGCACTTGCACACACGTTACGCAGTAAAAAAAAAAATCATGCACGATTATGCATTTTTCTTGTTTCTTATAATTTTGTTTTATGTTAATCAGTTGTATCAATTAAGAGCATCTTTAGTGGGAATAAACTAAATGGGTAAACTAAGATACTTTTTGTGGATTTGTAGGATTTAAAAAATTTATAGTTGATTTGAGTAGTTTTTACTTTAATGGTGATTGTCTATAAGAAACCAAAACTTGACCCCACATGATATTAAATGGTTAATAAAAATCTATTATTTATTTTAAATAATTAATAAAAATGTATTATTTTTGTTAAATGATGAGTTAGAGTACGTTGCTTGTGTAGAGCACGTAAACTAGTTTTAGAGCATCCCATATGCCATGTCAGCACTACTATAATGCAAATTCCTTATTACTAACGTAAGCTATAAAGAATTTTGGTTTAACAACCCTGCATTAAAGTTGCATGTTTTTTTTCACTTTTAATATCCGAACCAATACCAAACATTTTTTTATTGCAGTTGCGAAACTTTTAATATCCGAACCAATACCAAACATTTTTTTTATTGCAGTTGCGAAATATCCAAGGTGATTCTTCTTATCAAATTAAGCATTAATCCCAATTGGACTAACTAGTATACACACAACATTTTAAAAACATAGCACAGCTCTTTTAAAAAATCTATGGCCATAAAAAAAATGTTTTATTTTGCTTTTCTTTAATAATAACTATCTTTTATAAAAATTTTGAGAATTTCTTAATATTTAAGTTCCACACAAAAATTTAAAAATATTTTTAACTTTTGGAGATGTATCTCCAAATGCACTAAATATATATTTTATTTGTTTTTGAATTGCATCATAATCTTATGAATAAAGTTATTTCGAAAATACATTTTTAAAAAATTTCCGAAAATTTAACTGATTCCAACAATGATGTTAAATGGAACTATAGGAAGTGGGCTATTAAATTCTTGGATAAACGAAAGCGCAATGATATTCGGTACTAGTTGTGGAGCTTTGACAACATTCTCTGTGATTTATTTGTGGACAATCTTTGGCAATAAACGCGGTGGAGCAGTGGTTACAGAAGGATGTGTTATGCAAGCTTTGGATGGTGATTATAGGAAAGTTAAGATTGTTTGTAGATAATAAAACCATTGGAGATGGTAATAAGATGTTCTTGTGAGAATTATCTTAGTGTTTAATAGCCCACTTCTAATTCCATCTAACATCATTGCTGGAATCTATAAGCTGATTGCTAACTTTAGCGGATTTTGGAAATACATTTTCATCGTGGAACTATTTTAATTGCCGTTTTAACATTAAAAAAAAAGCTCTGACATCCTTGAACCATCCATATCATATTTGCATTGGCACTATACAAAGTGTTCGGTCAAAAGTGATATGCATGTGATTCATGTGACCTTCATATCATTATCCAAATCTGTGTATTTTACCAAAAAGAACAAAGATATTTATCATTTCTTCATTTTTCTATATTGTACACATTTGATTTATCACAGATCTTAATCTGATTCTGAACTCTAACCTGTGTGCTTAGCTGCTATGTATATAAGCCAGAATAGCAACTCAATCTGAACTTATTATACAACAGAAAAAATACAGCCTCAACAACAATGATACAAAATAAGCTCAGCATTACCCAAACTATATCTTAAAAAACAAACACTACATTTTATAACAGAAGCACTGTTGATAGTGTTGCTATTTTGCATTGAACTGCATGACAGCATCTTTAGTAGGTAGTGCAGGAATTGCCCCTCTATCAGTCACCGTGATCGCACCACATACATTTGCAAAATATAGCGCTTTTTGGAGACGCTCCTCGTCCTGCCATATTAAATAACTTCATTAACTCCAAACATTCTCAAGTTTTTTGGAATCAACATCCGGAATGTCTAAAAAAAATCTGAATTACCTTGAAAATACTTGGGTCGGAAGCTATCTTGTAGAGAATCCCACTAACAAACGCGTCGCCAGCACCAGTTGTGTCAACGGGTTTAACTTTTACACCTCCGACTTTTCCCTTAAAATCCTGCACGGAAATTTAGCAATCACTATTAGTTGAACGTTGGTTACTTGCACGACAAATAAAATTGTGAAATATTGAACCTAGAACCTTACCTTGGTGTAATATCTACAACCCTCTGACCCTTCGGTAACAATTAGAAGCTTGAGATTAGGATGAAAAAGCTTGTTTAATACAACATTATCGTCGTAAGGATCATCACCGCCAGTCAAAAAAGTAATCTCATCTTCGCTGACCTGCAATACGTAGGGAACACTGGAAGGCTTATTCTCAAAACAAAATAGAAAAATAAAAATCTAGCCAAATGAAATTTACCTTTATGACATCGGCTAGATCCCATATGCTCATTATACCATCCCGAGCAGCCTCGGCTGACGGCCATAGTGCTAATCTCAAATTTGGATCATACGAGAGAATGCAATCAGAGTCTTTAGCAATTCTCAAGGCAGCAAGATGCGCTGATTTGATTGGCTCGTCAATCAAACTGATGGAACCATAATGGAATATTTTAGCCTGCAATCAAAATTAAAAGTATACACAGACATAAACCAACGGTTCTTTAGCAACGTAATATAAATAGACACAGAAATTCACGACACCTTCTCAATGAGGTCGTGATCAAGCTCTGACTCACGCAGAAGCATATCAGCACTAGGATTTCGGAAAAACAAGAACTCACGCTCACCGTCAGCTCTAAGTGTAACAAAAGCCAATGCAGTTCTTGCAATAGAATCATACCGCATGCCAGATGTATCAACGTTATTTTGCTTTAAAATATCGGCTAACATATAACCAAATTCATCTGCTCCAACCTAAAACAAAGACAGTAATCGATTTCATATAACCTAAAACATTACAGATTTCTCAAATCCGAAGATTCGTAAAAATCAAACATGTAAGTCCTGGAGATAGTAACGAGAAACAAAATAACTGTTTAGATAAACAGACATAGAAATACACACCTTGCCTATAAATGCAGACGAACCCCCCAACCTAGAGATACCAACTGCAACATTCGCAGGAGCACCACCAGGAGCTTTCTTGAAAGCAGGTGCTTCAGCTAGAGAGACTCCACCTACCGTTGGCACGAAATCTATCAACAACTCACCAAAACAAACAACCAGTCCACTTGTTTCATCACATCCTTCCGTTGCGCAATCATCAGATTTACCTACAAACATAGTAAGCCTTAGATCAACATGAATTCAGAGTCCCCAAAATTTTACTACAAAAAAACTAAACTAAATAGGACAGATTTATACCTAAACTAGTATTAAATGCCTAGAAGGAAGAAAAAAAAAGAATCATTTCACATGAAAACCACTACCAACTATGATGACCTTCACATGGAATAGGTGATGAGACAAACCAGATTCTGATCTAAATCACAGCTAAAATTTCAAAACTTAATCACATGTTCTGTTCATCAACTAACAAACAAACTGAATAAAAATCTTTTCTTTTTTGCAGAATAATTATTAATGATACTTTAACTTAGACCCATTAATTTCATTTCATTTTTTTCGTATTCCCAAATTATTTATCAACGGTACATAAACCTATGAATCAAATTTGATTCAAGAACAAGACCCACTATCAGAAAAATCTCAAAGATGCAATCTTAACCTCAAAAAACAAAGTTCCAAACCAGATAAAAATGCATTCTTTAGATCAAGTAGAATAAAAGCAGAAACCCAAAATCAGAAAATTCTCAAAGATGCAATCTTTAGCTCAAAAAACCAAGCTCCAACCAACCCAATAGCATTAAAGAGTAATGAATATTGCAAAACAAGAAGAGTTTGAAAAGAGAGAAAAATGAGAAACCTGAGGGGGTAAATTGAGCCATTTGAGCAAAGGGATTGAATTTGGAACCAAGAAACAGAGTGTTGAATTGAAATTGCAAACGTAGTATAATAGTTTAGAGTTTACACAGAGAAGGAAAGGATCATGCAATGCTATACAATGCGAGTGAGAGGTAAATTTGGAATTTTGTCTTGAAAAGGGAAGATTCTACACCATGTGAAGTTGGAAACGTAAAACCTTGATGGTGTTTTTTATTTATCTTTTTAGGATATTCCCTCCTTTTTCTATTATAGAAAAAAAGCTTTTTACTATTTTGAAGATTCTTATATTGACAGAATAAATTGAGACACAAAATATAGAGATATTAATGAATTAATTATTACGTCGGTGGAAGAGTTGGATAAGAATGTTTAATCTTTCAAATTTATGAAATTGTAGTTTTGTTATTTAAATTAATAAATATTAGTCAATTTAGTCATTTTTCTAAATTTAACACCAAAGAGGATATACTTATGGATGTGTTTATACCATTCCTAGAAAAAAAACTTATCGATGTGTTTATACCATTCCTAGAATTTTTTTTTGAAATATCACATATTTTTAAATAAAATATTAAAATAATTGAATTTTCAAAAAAATTATCAAACTAACGTACATTTAACATGCATGTGCTATATGATATGGCGACAGCATTGAAAATTCAAATGAATTGAACTGATGCGCCATATTATATGGCGACACAATTCAAAAGCCCTAAGTGATGCGTCATATCATATGGTGACACCTTTAGAATGCCCTAACTTTTCAGAAGAGACGTCATATGATATGGCGTCTCAGTTCAATCCTTTTTTTAAAGTTATATTTGATTTGCTTTTTTTTTAATTTCTAATTAAAACAGTTTTTTTTAAGTGTAGATACGTCATATGATATGGCTACTACACTATTTCATTTTTCTATAAATAAGACTGCACACTCATTTGTTATTCTACAACAATTATCACCAATATCATCAACTCTCCACAACAATTATCACCTTCAAAGAAGGATTATAACTGATGACTGACAGAATTATCCTCCTCCCAATTTCTGAACACCGTTTTAATCGCCTTAGTCCTAACTATTCATGCTTTCATGTACGAAGGAGTATAGTTGTATCTTTGAACCATATGTGAGATTATGGTACTCACCTTCAAAGAAGGATTGTCGCTAATGACTAACAAAATTTTATTGCATATCAACTGAGAGTTGAGCTTGCGATGATCCTACATTAAATTCGTGATTATACAAGTGTGCTATGAACCCGTTGACCCTATCTTCCATGAATCACTTCTCTTTCGGAAATAAGCTATTAATCGAAACTAGCACACCTCGTTACGACAATAGATCTTATACAGAGTCGGATTCGTTCGATCGACTCTATAATATGCTGATAAGTCCATGTGATATTGTTTTATAGCTCGGACACAATCTTCTTTTGTACGAAAATTATCTCCCTCGTTTAATACCCCTTCTGTTTGCAAGTATGAATTGTAAAAAATATCTGTTGATGGTTCATCTTCACCTAAGTTGAGACTTGTCATGTGTTGAGGTGGGAAATAAACATGATTGGCTGGTAATATGTCTTCCTCGTTGTTTACCATTTCATTAACAATGACTTCAGCTTCTTCTTCTTCGTCAACGACATCGACTTTAGCTTGTTCGTCATCAGATTCATAAAAAACTTGAGAAAAATCAAGTTGTTGAGACAGTTGTTGTTGCTATAACGTAATATATAGCTCAATATCAGTGAAACCAGAATACTTGTGACTGAGAAACATATTACGCACATCTTCATCGTCTCAAATCTTTAACTGGAAAAATTTGCATTGGTCGTGCTCTCCAAAAAACAGAGGATTCTTGTAGATGATTTAGCCAACTGGACCACACTGTAATTTTTTTTCTAATCCCGCTTTCAAATGTAAAAAAAATTGATCTTCTGTCAATTAAAAACCTAGTAACTTCTGTATTTCAAAATTTGAAACCAGTTATGGTACATTCAAATATCTCACCATTTAGATGTGCACTGATCATGTATTGTGGTGTTTGAGCCATAACAAATACGTTACTAAACTCGTGTTTGAAAAAATTGTTATACATTTTTTAGTGTTTGGAAGAATATGTTACTAAATGATATGATAATAAAATGTATATCTCTAGTGTATTAATACACATATAGTTTGAATATATTATTGTTGTCTCAATTATCATTGTACTTCTTCTTTCATGCAATTGTCTTGTCAAATACTTTTTTGTATATCTTCTTACCACATTTCATACAATTGTCTTGTCTCATTTATATCTTCTTATCACATTCCATGCAATTGTCTTGTCTCATTTATATCTTCTCATCACATGTCTTGTATTATTATTATTATTATTATTATTATTATTATTATTATTATTATTATTATTATTACCTTCTATCATATGGTGTACACGAAGTTTAGCTTCTTTAGCACACTATTCATTATCACATGCATGCATACTTCTTATCATGCCTAAAAAGTACCATATAGTCTTGCATGCCTACAAGATTCTCACATGCCTACACTAATAGTCTTGCAAGACTACACTTCCAAGGCTATACTAACCAAGTATATCCATCCAATCAATCTCCCAACAACCAAGTATACCTACCCAATCAATCTTTCAGAACCGCAACTCATTCATTCCACCAACCCAATCACAACAACAAGAGTCTTACCCCTACCACCAGCCTCCCGACACCGACACCACATCTGCCTATAGCCCTGATAACTCTTTCGACCCCACCTCATTCTATTATACCCCCGATAACTCTTTCGACCCCACCCAAGCCCACTATAGTCCCCCATAAATGAACACACAATCGTCCTACCATCAAAATACTTATCCACTATTTGACTACCAAACCCCACAACAACCATTATATTGTTTCCAAAACGATTCAATGTACCAATTCGGCCAACCATGTCGTTCACACCCAACCCAACCACCCCGTCCCAACTACGAAAACATGGGCATGGAACTGAATTACGGAAGCGTCGTTGGCAGCAACCCCCGGCTATTGGGGACAGATGCTTCAAAATTTGTTTGATACGCTGGACAATCTCAACAAATACCTCTTCCACACGTCAACATGCAAAAGCCATAAACACCTCAACAAAATCGTGGTAGACCTCAACGCCGCGCAAATGCACCGTCATGTGGAACTGGTGGACGTTTTAATAGGGTCGAACATTGATTTTTTTTTCATCTATTGTACGCTTTTTATGTTGTAAATATTTTTATTTAATTTTTCTTTAGATTATTTTAATTTTTTTCATTTAATTTCCTAATTTTCTAATTCAAATAATAATTAATAAAAATAAAAAAATAAAAAAAATTGAACTGAGGCACCATATCATATGGTGCCTCCTCTAAAAATATGAAAATATCAGGGCTTCTTTGAATGGTGTCGCCATATGATATGGCGCATCAGTTCAATTTATTTGAATTTTCAATGTTGTTGCCATATCATATGACGCATGAATGTTAAATGTATGTTAGTTTGGTAATTTTTTTTTTTTGAAAACTCAACTATTTTAGTATTTTATTTGAAAATATGTGTTATTTAAAAATAAATCTCATTCCTACACATAAATTTAAATTAAAGAAACTCTTTCAGAAAGTAATTGATATTTAGCAATTTGGATTGTGCTTTAGTTTGCTATCGTTCTTCTTTTTTGTTCTTTAAAGTAAATTAAAAAATAATATATAACTATATTTAAGAGATATTATGATATCTAATAGAATTCACTTTAATTTTTTTTTAAAAGTTGTATGAAAATTTTAAAAAATAGATAAATTGTTTAAATTATTAGAAAGTATAAAATAATATTAAAAAGTTATTCCTTCCGTTTTTTATTATAAGTCGTTTAAAAAAAATATTGTACCACAATATAAATCGTTTTATAATACTAATGAATCATTAATATTATTTTTCATATTACTTCATTAAATATTTATTATTCTTTCACTTTCCAATTATGTAAATTTGTCTTTCTAATACCATTAAAAAATAACAATTTTATAAAACCTTTCATAATTTCTTTTTCCCGCACTACAATTACTAGTAAATTACTCGTGCGGTTTATTATGAAATTGTTGGATTATTTGTTTGCTATATCAAAATGTGTAATGCGAAAAAGATACATAAACGTTATATTAAGTATAAAGAAGGAGTAAATAAACATAAAGATTAATGTCAATGTCAAATTAAGATGTACAAATAGAACAATAATAAAAGTTATCATAATACAACCATTTAAAGTTTCAACATTAAAATTGCATTGAAAAATTATTCTAATGCTTGATAAATTGTTGGATGCTTTCTGTTATGCTTAACATAAAACATATGGGAATCAGATCGGTAATAAAAGATTATCACATCACCAACGCATAAATTTCTAGATCTTGCATATTCATACCAATCATTTCCAAGATATACCCCAGCATGTGATTTTTTTGCTCTAAGAATTTGACACTCATAATATGTCATTTTATCAAGGTCCATCAAGATAACTTCACTCTTATTTGTTGATAGACCTTCCTAACAATTTTAGCATGAAAATGCTATAAAAAAATTCAATTAGTCTATACATAAACAATTGTAAGCAATTAAAATGATAAATATTTAAAGGCAATAAATTTTTTCATCTAAAATATCACCATGACATTTTTTCGGCCTTCCTCTTATTATTTCCATCTCTTTCTCCATTGTATATAACAGAACATTGCATGTTTAAATTGATTGGAGAAAAAAGCATAAAGATGAATAGAAAAAAAATTGTAGGATAAAACATTAAATCTTTGAAGAACATTATGTTTTGTTTGCTAACATGTTTGAAGAGGAAGGAGATGTTGAATGCAATGAAGAAATATGGTAGTGAATGATATCTTGAAAATATTTATAAGTATGTAATATATATAGAATGGTTATGGTTTAAGGTATACAAAAATATATAATATTTATTATGTTGTGAA